TTGAAACCTGTTTTACAGGAGTCTAAATTTATGCTACAACACTCATCAATAAGAACACTACTAGCAGCTTGTAAATTATCCTCCAAGTCATACCCACAATGTTTACCTTCAGAAATTTCTAGATTTATATTTCTCTCTAATGGAACATCTTTGCTTTTGTCTTTCTCTTTTTTGAAAATCTGGTTATTATTTTTAAAAAGGTCTGGGTTTTGTATATTTGATTCAGCAAAGTCACTATAATTTTGATTACTGGTGTCATGTACTACATATTCTGGTGACGGAAAAGTATGTTCTTTTGTAAATTTGATTCAGCTAAGTCACTATAATTTTGATTACTGGTGACATGTACTACATTTTCTGGTGACTGAAAAAGTATGTTCTCTGGTAATTGACCATGGCCATTCCAACAGACATCAAGCATAACATCATAATGCACACCTTTGGTATGTTGCAAATAAATTGCACAAGTATTTCTAGGTTTAGAACCACTCAGCGTGGATTCAGAAAATTTCTGCCATTTAAAATGTTTTCCTACTTTAGTATAAACATAAATGTCTGTACTAAGTAGTGATGAGGCAGTAAAAATTTCAACATTAGTACCCCATGTGTTCTGATCTCAATATATATCGGGCAAACTTGAAAAATATATGCTAAACTTAAAATTTTTGTGTTCAACTTAAAATATACATGTGAATATTTTCATAAATATTGGTTGAAGTTGGTATCGCCATGGCAAACTAAACTCAACCACAAAAATAATTGTGAAATTTTATAAAATTTGCCCCAAACTCCAAAAAAACAAGCCTTTCGAAAAATATATGTTCTAATTAAGATGTTTTGCGGGCTTGTTTATATCATGTGAAATTAGTGAAAATACAACGGCCGCCATTTGTAGCGGATTTTGCAATTGTCGAAGATGCTAAACCAGAATGAACTACAATTTCACTTGAACAACACAAACAATGATCAAGAAACATTCGGTGTGCTTGCAAGCGCTTTAAACAGCCTAATGTCCATTCAAAGGGCACTTAGTCTTGAGATGGAACGGGTCCAATCAATCAATGATGAGCAATGTTACAGGTGTCCAGTTAATCATACAAACAGACCTGGTCGACCAAATATGATATTACAAAGAATCAGCTTGATATTTTGCAAAGCAAGCACTTTTCCTGGGTTAACATAAGCCAAACTGCTGCATGTGTCTACTCGAACATTGAGGAGGAGAAAAAATGAATTAGATATGAATGATGAGTTTTCTGCTATTTCGGAGGAAGAATTTACCCCAGCTATGGAAGACATAAGGAAAGTGACCCCAAATATTGGTCAGAGTAGGATGGTTGGTGCCCTTCGGGCTAGAGGGCTGCATATACAAAGGCATAGAGTGAGGAAATGCGTATCGGAACAGCACTTAGATGGAACTTGACAATCTACCAGCGTAAGTATCATGTTCCACACCCAAATGCACTGTGGCACATGGACGGCAACCACAAGCTGATACGATGGCGAATAATAATTCATGCATGAATTCATGGTTACAGCTGACTTATTATTTACCTGCAATGTGCAAATCCGGTAAATCTGTGCATAACGTTAGAGTTGAACGCCTCTACAGAGATGTTTACTGTGGGGTACTTTGTCATTATGTCTGGCTGTTTACGATTATGGAAGAAGATGGTTTGCTTGACTGTCTCAATGAACATCACCTTTTTGCATTACACTATGTGTTTATTCCGAGAATTCAAAATTCTCTTGACAAATTTAAGTGCCAATGGAATAGCCACCCTGTTAGTACAGCTGAGAACCTAAGTCCAGAACTGTTCATCAGGGGAACTATGACCAATTGCAATAGGAATATACTGGCAGAAAAGAATGCCCATGAACAACTTGGTGCCTGTGTAGATTTAGACGAAGATGGAACTGTCTTAATCAGTGATGATGATTACGATGTTTCAGTACCACAAGTAAATGTCAATGAAGAGCTAACCAACTTGGTACATGAAACTATTAAACCCTTAGATGACGATGGATATCATGGTGTAAATTTATATAGAGCATGCGTAGGTCTGCTATGCAAGACAACAATGTAAGGAATAGGTCTATTAAAAGTCAGTTAAGCATGCAAGCGGTGATTGATATAGTAAAGCCTTCAGGAGTTTAGCAGCAAACAACTGAAGGAAAACATTGAGTTGAATTAGAAGGCAACTATACTAGTTGGTTTATATTTGAATTGGATCCCCTAATTCCCTAAAATTTTGGACTAACACCGATTTATTTTTAAAGAAATCAATTGAATTTTCTTGTTTGTGGTCAGGGGTATTCAAGCCATTCAACAAATGCATAATTATCACTGCTACAAAAAAAACTATGTTAAAAAATTGGTACACAATAATTACTTTCTTTAGTTTATGTAATTATGTAATAGTACTGTATTTCATCAAAATCTTTTAGCCTGCAATTGCTGAAAATCACCATTTGCATGTTCAACATAAGAAGTAACTACCAACACAAGACTAATAAAAAATTGGCTAAAACTAGTTGAGATTAACCTTAAAAGTACCTCAAGCTAAATAAACCAAATATTAACTGTAAACAAAATATTAACAAAACCTTGACTTAACGTCTTACACCTAAAGCTGGTTTCAACAATATGGAATGACCATGACAATTTATCAGCTAAGATATTACTAAACTCCTCAGCTAGGTCATTATAACATTGGTATGTACTTGGGAGCTCCAGCAATCGTGCACAAGCATGTGCGACTGGCCGCCTAGCAAAACCTTGGACAACCACAAATGCAACCTTAATCTGTTTAGTTACAATAATATCACTACCAGTCGTAAATTGAAGAAATCGTGTTAAAGACTGACCCTGTAGAGACTTTACGTACTGCTTTAAAAAAGCGAAACATTGGTTTTCAGCATCCTTAGATGGCTCACACTTGAATAGTTTTATTACCTTACGGGTTGTTGGACGCTTTTCATCATACATTTTCTTAACTCCTTCAATAGATTGGAAAGGAGGAAACGACTTTAATGCATGAATATAAGGGGTCCAACAGTGGAAACGTATTTTGGCTTTTGCACAAGTTCTTAGTGTGCAAGCTCAGAAAATAATGACATTATGTTTTCTCTACTTGGTATGCGAAAACACTTGTATGAACTCAATAGTTCTAGTACTTCATCATCATTAGGAGATAACTCCTCATCCCTACACTTATCCAAGGTCTCGCGCTCATCATCAGAGATGTACGTTCTGAATGATTGTATCAAGTCTTGATGAGTGAAACTTTCTTCCTCAAAAAGGCAAGTAGCAATAAATACTGAGGAAAATGAAATTGGGAAATATTTTTCCCTGATGTAGCCATAAATAAGAATCCTAACAATTGCCGCCTATTCCAGTTTTTGATGATCATGCCTAATTGCAGGTACTTTCTCCTGCACACCTACAGCCAAAGAATCAAAAAATTGCTGCCAAAAGCTTGTAAGAACATCCCTGGCTACACCTACCCCTTCACCCTTTTCAGGCCAGCCATTACAACCTACAACAGTAAACTTTAAAAGACTACTTAGGATGTCTGGATCTTAAAAAAGGATAATCATGTCCCTTTTGATGGTGGTCCTGTGCACTGTTACAGCTCTCACTGAATAATTTTCCATCTGCCCAGGTGTCAAAGAGTGCACTAAATTAGGCAAAAAGCAATTATATGTATTTGAAACTGACAACATCAAATAGAAAAATTTTATATACTAATTTACTTATAAATTTTAACAAATTAATTTTATAATTTCTGTCTTAATACTTTGTCAATTACCAAAAAATATTGCTCAAAACAAAATTAAACAAAATGAACTAGAACAGTTTGAACACAAACAGTATGAACTAATCTGGACTTTTTGCTGCTTTTATTTTCATCTTGTCAACTTGCCATTTGCACAGCTTGGTTCATGAAAACTATTGGGCAAGTCATCAAGCTCTGGCAGTTCTGGCAATATTCCTTCAGAAACATCATTAACTTGTTCCACATTTACAGGGTCTAAAATTTTAATTTTTAAAGGCTTTTTGTGTATCACATTTTGAAAAAGATGACAAAATACATGTGACAAAGACCTAACATTACATTATGAGAATCCATGGGGGACAACATAACTGATTTGTGAAACTGAAACAACGCAGTGAATATTGTTTGGTTCATGCATTTTACTTAACTCACCATTAACCTGTTCATCAAATACAGCAGGCACTGATATCAACTCTGAAATGTCCTCTACATTCACATGTTCTAAAATTTTTATAAATTAATAATGAATTATTTAGATCATTCACTTCAATACTTGCAAAATAATTGACACACTAACTGGTTCATCAAAAATATCAGGTAGAGTAGCAGGAACTGGGATTGAATCTAAAAATATAGAAACTATATTTGTTCATATAATTGCTTATATGATTTTAGCAAATTACAATTGTTACATGAAGAAACCCTCAATTATATGCCTTGCAACAAATTACATTGAGTTTCTCTAACCCACCATTATTCTTAACTGAATTAATCAGTATTCAAGCCAAGAATTGTGATTTTGACTGCTACAAGCTAGATGATAATTAACACAAACTAATTATATATGAATATATACTTGTCGGGACTGAGCGACAACGGGGCGCACAAAATAATAGGTGATGACACGCACTGCACAGAAATGGGAAGCAATATGGGTAAAATAAGGGATCTGCACAAAATTGAGTCAGTTGGTGATAGAGGGTCATAGTGTGCAAAACGGTCTGTGACTCGAGAGACGCGATATTAATTCGACATAGCTGCAACGTGAATTTTGGGTGAAGATTTAGTATAACTTTTAATTTTATTTGTTAATTCAATATATTTCATAAACCCAATCGAATTTGTGTGAATTGAGACTTGTTGAGGACAAAACGATACTGAACGGAGGCTAATTCTCGACACCTGGCACCTCCGACGGGATTGCGAACTCGTTGAACAACGATGGAAGAAGAAAAAGAGAGTACTGCTGGAGAGACAGTTACGGAGATGGCCGTTCAACCAACCGGAGAAAGTATACCTCCAGAATTGACAAAGGCAGACATCGAATTGGAGACGAAATTATCCCAGCTGAAATTGGTTGCGAGAAGGTCAGATAAAATCCTGGCAACAGGTAAGCGTGAAACTATAAAACGCCATATCGAAACACTGCAATCTGTAAACACCGCGGCTAACGAGTGCAAGCGCAAAGTTGAGGAACAGAAAATCGCGAGAAAAACAAGCATGAGCGAAATTTCCGATTGGAGCGACAGTGTTGAGGTGACACTCGAAGTAGCTGATTTACAGATTTCAAAGTTGAGCGATTGGTTAGCTGAAGAGAAACGTAACGCTAAGGCTGCAGGACTAGAGCAGCAACGTGAAGCAGAACTAAAGTTGCATGAACAGAAACTACGCATGCAAAGGGAAATGACCCCACCCAAACCGGAAACTCAGGAATGCCCAAGTCGAAACGCAAAGCTACCGAAACTTGTGATTACGAAGTTTAATGGGTCATTTAAAGACTGGCCTAGGTTTTGGGGACAATTTACCGAAGGGATTGATAAGAGTTCCGTGGCCCCCATTACCAAGTTTACGTATTTGTTAGAATTATTGGGTCCAAAGGTCAAAACATGCGTCGAGTCCCTGCCCTTTTCAACCGAAGGTTACAATAGAGCCAAAGCCATTCTCCAAGACAATTACGGCAAGGAATCCGAGATTGTCAAAAGCTATATAAGGGAGATTCTCGATCTACCTCATATTCGAACAGTAACCCCCGTAGAATTGCCGAATTTAGTGAGACTTTGACCTATTGCGTGCGAGCCTTGCAGACCTTGAGGAAACTCGATCAGGTTAACGGAAATGTCTCGATGACATTAGATAAATTGTCAGGTATCAGGGGCGATTTAGTTAGAACCGATCCTGAATGGGAAACATGGGATTTCGAGAAGTTAGCTGAGGCATTGCGACAGTGGGTAAAACGCAATCCGGTAAACGAAAGCGACCCTCCGCGCAAAGATGATTACCGTAAGAAGTTGTTTCGCGCGAGCGGAAATGAACAAAAACTTTTGGGCTGTGTTTATTGCGGCGATCTTGGCCATAAGGCGGTTTCATGCACAAATGTCGTGAATCCCAGTGACCGAAAGCAAATTTTAGCAAGAAAGGGTTTGTGCTTCAACTGCGCTACGAAATTTCACCGAGCTTCGGACTGTGCCAGCAAGACGTCTTGTGGGCATTGCAACAAGCGTCATCACTCATCCATCTGCGAACAGTACAAGCATGAACGCGACGAAAGGTCTGGTCAAGATCATACAAAAGAAGGGGACCAATCACCCGGGGCTAAGAAAGTGATGACAGATGGGGCAAGCGCGGAAGGGATATTTCCAGTCGTTGTTGTGAAAGTTAATGGTGTAATGACTCGCGCACTTATTGATTCTGGCGCCGGCAGTTCCTATGCGTCCGCGAAACTTGTCAACGCGTTAAACATTAAACCCAGCGAAATAAAGAGCCAGCGAATAGACATGTTGATGACTTCGCAAACAAAGCGAATAGAAGTTTTCGATGTAGAAGTTAGTTCCTTGGACGATTCGTGCAAAATAAACGTGAGCTTGAACAAAGTTGGAAAGAGCGAGCTTCTGACAAATAGTAACCCCAATTACGACCACCTCGTGAGACGATATAAACATTTGAATTCGGTCAAAATGGACGAACGCGACACAAAGAGTGAGCTACCCATTCACCTCGTGCTGGGAAACGGCGAGTATGCTCGGATAAAAACAAGGACCAAACCCCTGGTAGGAAAGGACGGTGATCCCGTGGCGGAATTTACAAGGTTTGGTTGGATGATCATGAGTCCTGGAATCGAGTTGGACCAGAATACGATGCTACTGACCACAACATCTCAAAACGATTTCGAGCGGTTGTGTCGGTTAGACGTCCTCGGTCTTGAAGATCCCACCGAGGAAGGCTCTCAAGCGATTTACGATGATTTTAAAGACGAGCTCACATGCGACAAAGAAGGCTGGTACGAGACTAGCTTACCGTGGAAATCGCATCATCCACACCTTCTGTCAAACGAAAGAGGAAGCATAAGGAGACTTAACAACCTGGTGAAACGTCTCGAGAAAAGAGGAATTTACAAAGAATACAACGACATTATTCAAGATCAGCTCGTGAAAGGTATTGCCGAACCAGCACCTGCCACAGCGAAGGGTAAAGAGTTTTACATCCCCCACGAGATTCCCTACGCAGAGACGACGAAACTTCGGGTCGTTTACGACGCGTCCGCCAAAGAATCGGCATCTGATCCATCCTTGAACGAATGCTTGAACCCTGGCCCACCACTCCAGAACCACCTGTGGGATATTTTAGTTCGTCTACGTTTCCTCCCCATCGTGCTGACCGCTGACCTCGAGAAAGCCTTCCTGCAAGTCCGGATACGCGAAAACCAACGAGATTCCCTACGCTTCCATTGGAAGGCACCAGATAGTGACGACCTCACAGTCTATCCGTTTACTAGGGCGCTGTTTGGGCTGACCTGTTCTTCCTTCCTTCTTGGAGGTGTCCTGAACGAACACCTAAAGAGTTGGGAGAAAAGATATCCGGCTCTGGTGGAAGAGATAAAAGGCGGCCTGTATGTCGATGATGTGATGGAGGGAGGTGATAATGTTGAAGAGGTCAAAGAGAAGAAAGCGAAGACAGTTAGTATTTTTGAGGATGCCACTTTCCACCTGCATAAATGGCACTCAAACGCCTCTGAACTCGAGGATACCGAGGATACCGACCAGAGCGCCAATGAAGGCAACGTGGGCAACCCGGAAACTACCTTCGCGAAACAGCAGCTGGGCACAAAGGGGACTGAGACAAAGATCCTCGGTATGGGTTGGAACAAAGCTCAAGACCGTTTAAGTGTTGTAGCAAACAAAGAACGAGACGCAGCATCTACGAAAAGGGAGGCCCTGTCGCAGGTTGCAAGTGTGTACGACCCACTCGGCCTGGTTTCCCCAACTACCCTAGTAGCAAAACTACTGTACCGTGAAATGTGTGAAGAGCAACTTGCCTGGGATGAAGAACTTAACGGTTCTTTGAAGAGACGGTGGAAAGAGTGGTACGAAAACCTGCCAGGCCAGTACACGGTCCCTCGAACTTTAGCCCCTCACAGAGAGCCAGTACAGTCAATCACCCTTCACGGATTCGGGGATGCCAGTAAGAATGGAGTTTCTGCGGTCGTCTACGCAGTCGCAGAGCAAGAAAGCGGAACAACCCAAGGTATCGTGTGTGCAAAGTCCAGACTTGCGAAGAAGAGCCTCACGATTCCCCGTTTAGAGCTTGTCGCTGGTCATATGACCGCAAACTTAGTGACGAACGTCGAGCGAGCGATCGGAATGGAGAAGGTGACCGAGATACACTGTTGGTTGGACTCGACAGTCGCGTTATATTGGATCAATGGACAAGGCGAGTACCGGCAATTCGTATCCAACCGAGTGAAAAAGGTCAAAGAACTCGACCGGATCAGATGGCATCATGTCCCAACGAACGAGAATCCCGCTGACGATGAATCAAACGGCACACAAGGACGTGTTTGACCAACTACTAGAGCGGTATACGTTGCGGAAAACCCTTCGAATTTGTGCTTGGATTAACCGCTTCATTCAACACACCCAAAGGAAAGCAAAGTCCCTGGGACCGATAAAGACGCAGGAGATCAAAGATGCACGGTTGTGGTGGATTAAACGAGTTCAAGATGGAGCTAGGGACGCACCGGAATTCGAGAGTACGAAAATTGAGCTAAACCTCCAACCTAACCAGAACGGAATTCTAGAGTGTCGCGGGCGAATCAAAGGCGAGTATCCGGTATACTTGCCTGCAAATTCGCAGTTTTCGAAGAAACTAGTCGAACAAGCGCACATCATCACTCTTCACGGGGGAGTACCGGCGACCATGGCTGAAGTTCGTGAGCGATACTGGATACCTAGACTACGTCGCCTTGTGAAGCAGGTACGAAGCAAATGTCATGGATGTGTGCGATTCCACGCTCGTGCGTATCACAGACCACCGCCTGGACGACTACCAGTTACGCGAACGCAAGGAGAAACCCCATTCCAAGTGATAGGAGTCGACTTCGCTGGACCAATCAAATACAAAACAGCAGGAAAAGCGGAAAAGAAAGCGTATCTGGTACTTTACGCGTGCAGCCTCACAAGAGCAGTTCATTTAGAGCTGTTGAAATCATTGGAGGTTGTCCAATTTCTGCCTAGCCTAAAAAGATTGATCGCTCGAAGGGGGAGACCACAAATCATATACTCAGATAATGCCACTACGTTCAAGGCTGCGGCAAACTGGCTGAAAAAGGCAATTGGAAATGAGATCATAAACGGTTTCCTTACGGACAAGGAGATCCATTGGAGGTTTAACCTGAGTCACGCACCCTGGTGGGGTGGACAGTTCAGATCAGGACGCCAAATGGAATTCTTGAACGTGCAATACAGCAACTCTACCCGATAGAACTTTCCTGTGACTTACCACCTCCAACCACGTTAAACCCAGACACCCCTCCCTTCCAACCTCGACCGAAACGTGATGCAGCAGCAGCGGCAGCAATCCGCTTACGGGATCAAGCAGAAGAAGATGAACGGTGACACTTATCCATATTAGGACACTAATATTAGATTGCATTTAAGCTTGAATCAGTAGCACTAGCTCAGACCCTTTGTAGACATATATCACAGCACTAAGATATATGGGGGGAGTGTGTCGGGACTGAGCGACAACGGGGCGCACGAAATAATAGGTGATGACACGCACTGCACAGAAATGGGAAGCAATATGGGTAAAATAAGGGATCTGCACAAAATTGAGTCAGTTGGTGATAGAGGGTCATAGTGTGCTAAACGGTCTGTTACTCGAGAGACGCGATATTAATTCGACATAGCTGCAACGTGAATTTTGGGTGAAGATTTAGTATAACTTTTAATTTTATTTGTTAATTCAATATATTTCATAAACCCAATCGAATTTGTGTGAATTGAGACTTGTCGAGGACAAAACGATACTGAATGGAGGCTAATTCTCGACATACTGTATCATATTAGTTGACAGCATGTTAATAACAAAACTCCATGTAAATGATAAAAAATTAACAGCTTATACCAGACTCCCATTTACCTGTTTCTTTAATATCTTCAATTTCTACGAGTTCTGGTTCTTGCTTAATTATAAACTCTTCATCATTAAATTGATCATGACTGTCACAACCAGCAAGTTTTTCTATTGAGCGTATGTATACAGCACTTTGACCTGACAACTTCAGAAGCATGTCGCAGTTCATCATAACACCAAGGGCTAAATTTGGCAAAACGAGTTTTCCATAGGAGGCCTGTAATAAGTAAATATAATGTGAACATTACATGCCTACCAGGGAGCTTAAATGGGACTGGTAATCCCAAATACCCTGGATTCGTTTTCACACAACAATTTAATACATTGTTCTAATGAAGAATTTATAACACAGGCATTGTTATAAGAGATTACAGGTCAAGGTTTTTGTAGTATACATACATAATTACGTACCTTGACATATTCATAACCACAACATTGGATCTGGGAAAAGACTTTTTCTATTTCTCTTTTCAAAGTAACATTATCGTATTCTCTCAAGTGAAATTGTAGTTCATTCTGGTTTAGCATCTTCGACAATCGCAAAATCCACTACAAATGGCGGCCGTTGCATTTTCACTAATTTCACATGATGTAAATAAGCCCACAAAGCATCTTAATTAGAACATATATTTTTCAAAAGGCATGTATTTTTGGAGTTTGGGGCAAATTTTATAAAATTTCACAATTATTTTCGTGGTTGAGTTTAGTTTGCCATGGCGATACCAACTTTAGCCAATATTTATGAAAATATTCACATGTATATTTTAAGTTGAACACAAAAATTTTAAGTTTAGCATATATATTTTTCAAGTTTGCCCGATATATATTGAGATCAGAACCATTAATTAAGTTCAGCAGATACTTATCAAAAGTTGAGTCGACATATTTTTGCATTTAAGCAAACTTTCGTAGTTTGACACATATTTTTTTCTAAAAGACAATTTTGTCCGGTTTGGCACCTCATATGCCTGTATTTGCCATTCCACTTGAATCTAAGTATAATTTCAATGGCATATTCATATGTGGTAACAGCAATCCTTCAATATTTTTCATATGGTCAAGCACTTTTTTAAATATTAACTTGTATCCACCACTAATTTCGTTTTCTTTAAAAACTTTGTCACTTTATCACAAATTCATACAATTATTTCATTTCGTCACATGTATATCAGTTTGTAATCGAGGCTACTTAATAGCCGAAAATATTTGGTGTAAACGAGACTACAGCAGTGTAACCCCATAAAACGTGGCGCAGATGCACCAAACTACTTTATTATCTAAACTACAAATCTGAAATGATGTAACTCAAGTATAAATGTGAACTTTTCAAAGTATCATTGTCACAGTTACTTTTAAAATAGTTTACAGACAAATGAAATAATTTCTATTCAAAACAAGACGCCCTTGGAATGGCAAATACAGGCATATGAGGTGCCGAACCGGACAAAATTGTCTTTTAGAAAAAAATATGTGTCAAACTACGAAAGTTTGCTTAAATGCAAAACTTGTCACTTATGTAGGCGTGAACTCAGGCTATAAAATGTGAATTCACTTAAAATACACTGTAAATATGCGACTGTCCGTGCTGAGGACTAAGCCTGCGACCATCCCAAAAAATAATTATCCCAAAACCTAGACTCGATTACCACAGTGGCCTGGGTAACAAGAGTTAAAAGATGATGGATATATAATTTAAATTAAGAAATTGCACACCTTAATAAACCTGAAAATCTCTCAAACTGGTTAACTAGTATTATAACAAGAATGAAAAAAGCAGTCCTTAAAAAGTTAATGATTAGATGAAACTGAAATAATTCAATACCAGATAATGGATGTATAACCATAAAAATAAGAAAGTGCGAGCACCTGGCTCTACATCATACCTGTTTGGGTCAGCACATAATTATTTTCAACAATTAATTATAGTTTTTATTCACATTGCCCTGTATTTAGCTGTGTTTATACTACAAGCCTGAGGCCTAGATCTTCCTAGTGTAAACACACTTTGGCCTGGCCTAAGCCAGGAAATCTAGGCCCATCATAACAGGTGGCCTAGGCCAGGCCCAAGCCTGGCTTTTTGGCGGGAAAAGCAAATAAACATAGTGGGGGGATTTGAATTTGAACTGAAGCTTTGATAAACCGTTCTTGTCGTTCCAATCTTGATAGACATTATCACTATAGTGTTATATTGCAGGTGGTCGTAGAACAAAATCTCACATTTTTGGACACTGCAATTGGTTATCTAGGTAGCATGCATGATGCACAAGTTCTGCACTCAAGTGATGTTTTTCAGAAGGCACAGGATGGTGAGATTTTAACAGGAACCACTTGCTAGAATCAAAAGAGTTCAAGCTCCACCTTTCCTGTTTGGAGAAGGTGCATACTTCTACCTTGGTTCATGAAGCCTTACCCTAATGTGCTATTTTAATTGTCACAACGCCAATTTAACATGACTCTCTCTTCAGCTACAATCATATACAAATTTGCTGGGACAAGCATGGAAAAAAGAAATTATCAGTGACAAATATTTCTTCATAAAAAATAGGTTCATTGGTGAACTTGCTGCAGCTTTCTCATTCAATTTGTGTTTTTTCGATCCTATAAATACAATACAATTACATGTATTTATGTTTTCAAAACTTGTCACTTATGTACGATGACTGTATAAAATAGCAATTACAATGAATGTCAAAGTGCATTTTGACAAAATGCATTTTGAAATTTTAATTTTTGGACCTGGGAGGCTAGAAGCGAAATCATTTACATTTATTTATTACTTAATATGTAAATAAAATTGAATAATTAACTTGAGTGTACAGTGACATCATTAATGCCTCCTTGTGCACAGGACAAATTAACATTGCACACGCTACAGAAGAACTTGTATTTTTTGTGTGGGATATTTTGACCACATGGCTTCACAAATGGAAAGTTGCTCACCCATTCTTTGGAATATCTTGTCTTGTATTCTCTTTTCTTAATGCTTTTGACTTTATTTATACCCTCTAAGTTTGCAAGTGAACTTGTATCATTGTTGGACTCTGTTTCTGTTTCATTCTCTGTTTCAGAATCTGTTTCATGAGCTCTTTTTCCCGCCATATTTGCATAATAATCAATAATGTATATGTAAATGTTTTTAAAAGCCCATTCGCGGCTGAACTTGCGCGCTGGAAACCCGAAATGATTAAATGAATATAGTTTGTAATAGTCAGGAAACTGTCTTGTAAATGAAAATTTGTATTTTCTAGATATCTTGGAAAAATCCGGAGGAATTCTGTAAAATCGGGAGACAGGGAGATCACACAAATTTTCGGGAGACTCCCGGACAATTCGGGAGAGTTGGAATGTCTGCAATTACAAAAACTGTGAAAACTAAGAAACCATAGACAAGTGGTTGTACAATTTTAGTAACATGATGGGTGTAATTATAAAATCTATACATTTTGAATACAATATACAACAATAATAATAAAATTCAATAATATATAATAATAATAATCTTTATGATAACCTTGTCGTATGATATAACCTTTTCTAAAATTATTACAATATAATACATGTCCAAAAAGCTAAATATATCGATATTTATTACGATGTTCAGTTATAACTTTTAAACAGTGTTTGTTCTTCTAACAGTTTATCAGGTACCATCTACTTTTTCATTATTTCTGCCATTCTTAAGAAAAACTCTTCATCTCTTCTTTGTGACTCTTCATCTAGCTTTCTTTGATCTGCTTCCAGCTTTATCAAAAGATCCTTGGTTCATTTTTGGCCTTCTCCATCATTTGCATCTGCGAGTTTTGCAATTCCAACAGCTTTTCTGTCAGGTCGATCATGACACTCCCAGTTGTAATTGGTCCTTTGTTTGCTTTTTTCTGGTCTTTTTTGGTGCTTTTTGTTTAGATCGCTGCTCAGCATTTAGAAAATTCTCTAATTCTAACACTTGCATCTTGCTTGTCGTACGCTTGGTCAGATTCTTCGGAATCATTGAATGACTGGTCTTGCGAAGATGAAGAAGAGTCTTCAGATATGGCTTGCCCACTCTGGATTATCTCTGGCATTGTCACAATGGCCTGGGTACCAAGAACTTCTGAAGATTCTTAGCGCATCCCATAAAATGGTCAAATGGTTTGAAAGTTATTTAACCAGACGTGCTTAGAGGGTTCATATTGAGTCATTCTTGTCTGATACCGTCCCTATTACCCATGGAGTACCACAAGGTGCCATTTTGTCACCATTACTCTTTGTATATACACTTATGATCTCCCAAAAGTGACGCAAGCAAGTGAGCTGTACTCCTATGTTGATGATTTTAAAATATCGCTGTTCCCTATTGAAGAAGCGTT